TTATTTGTTTTTGTTGTTGTTGCTTGAAATTCTCTTTTTAGTTTCTTATATATTCTTCTAGAGTTTCTTTAAGCAAATATAAGAAAATATGAAAATAGGCCCTTACCCTCCCACCCCACTTTTTACACAGAATGTAGTATGCTGACTGTGTTTTTGTTCCCTTCAATGATGGTTACAATTTGGAGATCTTTCCTTACTGATAGATGTTTCCTTTATGTAACCAATCATCTGTTGATGGGTGTGCGTTATTTATTTAACCATTGTTAACTGTTCTGCACTGAAATAGTCAAAAGGTGCAAAAAACCTACATGTCACTGAGGAGATGAATGAGTAAAGAAAATGTGGTACATACACATAGTAGAATATTGCTTAGCCATTGTTGTTGTTGTTGTTAGGTGCCATCGAGTTGGTACCAACTCATAGAGACCCTATGAACAACAGAATGAAACACTGCCCAATCCTGGGCCAACCTCACTACTGTTGCCACGTTTGAGTCCATCGATACTGTCACTTGGTCAGTCCATCTTGATGGGGGTCATTCTCTTTTTCTCTGACTCTCCACCGTACCAAACATGATGCTCTTCTCCAGCGACTGGTCCCTCCTGACAATCTATCCAAAGTATGAGAGATTAAGTTTGGATATCTTGGTCTCCAAGGAGCACTCTGGCTGCACTTCTTCCAAAATGGATCTATTGGTTCTTTTGGCAGCCTATGGCACTTTCAATATTCTCCTCCAACACCATAACTCAATTCTACGGTCTTCCTTATTCACTGTCCAGCTTTTGCATGCATATGAGGTTATTGAAAATACCGTGACTTGGGTCAGGTGCACCTTAGTCCTCAAGCTGACATCTTTGCTCTTCAACACTTTGAAAAGTTCTTGTGTAGCAGATTTGCCTAATGCACTATGTCATTTGATTTCTTGACTGCTGCTTCTATGAGTGTTGATAGTTGAACCAAGAAGAATGAAATCCTTGACTACTTCAATCTTTTCTCCGTTGATAAGAATGTTGTTTATTGGTACAATGGTGAGGATTTTTGTTTTCTTGACATTGAGATGTAATCCATACCGAAGGCTGTGCTCTTTGATCTTCTTCAGTAAATGTTTTAAGTCCTCCACTTTCAACAAGCAAGGTTGTATCATCTGCATATTGCAGGTTGTTAATGAGTCTTCCTCCAATCCTGATGCCACGTTTTTCTTCGTATAACCCAGTTTCTCAGATTATTTGCTTAGCATACAGGTTGAATAAGTATGGTGAAAGAATACAACCTTGTCACACACCTTTCTAAATTTTAAACCATTCAGCGTTTCCATGTTCTGTTTGAACAACTGCCTCTTGGTCCAGGTACAGATTTCTCATGAGCACAATTAAGTGTTCTGGAATGCTCATGCTTTGCAATGTTGTCCATAGCTTCTCATGACCCACATAATCGAAGGCCTTTGTGTAGTAATAAAGCACAGGTAAACATCTTTCTGACATTCTCTGCTTTCAGCCAAGATCCATCAGATATCAACAATTATATCCCTCATTCCATGGCCTCTTCTGAATCTAGCTTGAACCTCTGGAAGGTCTCTATCAATGTATGATTGTAGCCGTTTCTGTATTACCTTTAGCAAAACTTTACTCACATGGGATATCAAAGAGATTGTCTGATGATTTCCGCATTCCATTGGGTCACCTTTATAGAGAGAAATGAAGTCCTGATGTATGCCTCAATACGGACAAACCCTGAAAACACTATGTTATGCTGAATGAAAAGGTCAAATAGCGTATGATCTCACTTATATAAAAGATCTAGAATAGGCAAATGCATAGAGACCAAAGTTTATTTGTGGTTACCTGGGGCAGGAGGGAAAGGGAGAGGCAAGGAGCCATTGTTTAGGAAGAAATGTTTCTTTTTATGCTAATGGAACACTTGGCAATGGTTACTTTATGGCCATGGTTGCACAACATGAATAAAATGCAATCAGTCTCACTAAATTGTACATATAAAAAATGAGGGTTGACTAATGTGTTCATCTGTACATTTACCTCAATAAAAGCAAAAAAGAAGAACCTGTTGTAGAAACCACCCTTGAATATGTGGCAATTTTTGAAAGTCCACAAGTCAATCATAAGCATAAAAATGGAACTGCTAGGTCAAAGGTTTTATGTTAATTTTGATAGATGTTGCCAAATTGCCCTCCCGCAGGGGTTGTACCAATTTACACTCCCATGGAGAATGTATGACTGTTCCTCTTTTTCACAGCCTTACCAATAGAGCATATTATCAACTTGTTGGGTTTTAGCCCATCTGATAGGCGAAAATTGATATTCTGTGGTTTTAATTTGCAGTTCTCTTCTGAGTGAGTTTGATGATCATTTTAAAAATACAGTTAAGAGCCATTTATCATTCCTTCCTTTAAATTACTTGTTTCTATTCTTCCTCCATTTTTCTCTTATTGGGTTACTTGATCTTATTCTAGAAGATCTTTTCAGATAGAGGAGATTTTGTTGTAATATGAGATGCAGCCACTTTTTCCTGAAATCTGTCACAAGTCTTTTGGTTTTACTGATGGTGAATTTCATCATTGCTTTTCTTTGTTGTTATTGTTGCTTTATAAATTTAAAAGATTAAAAAATTTTTTTAGACTTATACTTACAAAGATAGTACAGAATTCTCTTCTATCATTCTCCCAACTGCTCTTTGTTAGTATCTTTCATAACACAGTTCAATTATTGAGACCAGGAAGTGAATCCAGATGCAGTTGTTGATGTTTTGTTGTTAGGTGCCATCGAGTCAGTGCTGACTCATAGCAACCTTATGCCCAGCAGAATGAAACACTGCC